ACGAAACGTACATATTTCGCGATGAAGGATCGATTGTCCGCCTGAGCGCCATGTTGTCGAGATCGCTTCTCGTCCTCGATCTTCGCCAAGTAGGCGGCGGTGTCGGGCCTAAACTCATCGGTTTCCGTGAAGCAACTCTATGGGTCCACTTACAGCGGCAATTCCTCGACGCCGTTCACGACGACCTTTGCGTGCACACGGCCGCCTACTTCAGGAATCTCCTGGCACACGTCGTAATCGCGTCCGACGTCGTAGATGCCGCCGGGGTACAGCGTTAGCGAGAGAACCTTCTGCTTCTCCTGGTCCACCGTCACGGCGAATTCGTGCGAGAGGTTAGCGTGCAGGAAGAGGCACTGAAAATGTTCTTTAGCCTGATCTAAAACTAGATTATGCAGATCACCCGTACCGTGCTTCGTGCCGTACTGACCGCTCCGTACCGTACGTACCGTACCAGTACCGTAGTTATACAAAAATGCCGTACCGTTTACGGTGAATAAAGGCACAGATCAGCATGGTCCGTCATGAAATGCGCAATTTTATGGCGCCGTGCCGTACTTCGTGCCGTACTGACCCTTCCGTACCGCAGTTAGCTAAAATGATGTGCCGGTTTACGCTAAATACGGCACAGAACGGCACCGTACGGCATGATATTACGCATGTTATGGCGCCGTACCGTACGTAGCCCGTGTCATAATTATTCTCTGCGTATTGTACTCGTACCGCAATGAGTCAAAAATGCCGTGCCGTTTACTAACTAACACTAAATACGTCACGGGACGCCACGGGGCGGCATGAAATACGCCCATTTTACCGCATTCTGTGCCGTACCCAGTCGGCCGCACCGTACACGTACCGCAGTAATCCACAAGTGCCGTGCCGACTACATGTAATACGGCACGGAACGTCACGTTGCGGCATGAAACGTGGAATTTTCTGGCGCCGTGTCGTACTCCGCGTCGCGGTAGACACGGAGAATCGGCACGGTACAGAGGACATTACGGGACGGCAATGACCTTCACCTTAATCTATGGCCAAGGAATTCCTACCGGTCGGTTGGACGACAGCAGCTGCCCGCTTCGGATCCGATACCAAGCGTTGAGGTCCTTTGCCGCAGCCGCGAGAGCCTTCGTTAGCGCCGGTGCGATTCCGCTAGCCGGGGAGAACTCGCCGGTGTAGTTGCTGTCGGCCTTCTCGCGGATGCGCAGCGACCCGAGGGACTCGTATTTGGAGTCTGAAACAAAACGGGTAAGCGGGCACGGACGAATAAGGATGTAACAAGTGAATGCTAAGAATGCACTGAGTCATAGAGACATCTTCGAAGGTCTTTAATTGACCCTAAGTGAAATAACTAGCTCAATTTGTGGAACTAGGACAGCACGGAAATTGAATCCGGCCAAAACGAACTATGGATTCAGACTGGAACCTTTTCTAAAGCCAGTGGCAGCCATGAGATCTAACTTTCCTAGTCCTAAATGCGGAACGTTTTTCGATTTCAACCATGTACTTGATACAAAACCAGCTAGCCGCACGCTGAATGAGAAACATTTTGGCAGTGTTTTGCGTAAGCCAATTATAAATAAAGTTCAAAAATTCGATACGCTGCGCTTATCGGCTTCCCACAAACACAGACGCTGCACCTGTTTTGCGAATTTTGAACCTGCGCAAACTGCAGCATAAACTTGACATTGACTAGGACGTCGTCCTTACCTACCTGCAACGGAGTACTCGAGCGGAAGCGTCCATTCCTTTAGTGATTCCGCCACACACAGCGCTAGCAACGTTCCTAGCGCCAATATTCTTAGCAGCATTCTGAAATGGTTGACTTGTCCACTGAAGTTAATAAGCCGAAAATATGGGCACCTTTGTCGGAAAAGGATTTCTCAGCTTTACGGTATACAAAACACTTTATTCCGTCCAGTTTATACAGAAACACACGCGACGCGCAAGGTGGAACCCACAGCCGTGAAGAGCTGTCACTGAGCGGAAGAGTCAACAAAATGCCACAGGTGAAGACGAATCTATGGTGAACACAGGTGGGGGAGCCGAATCTGCAGTGGACTGACTACTAACTGGAAAAGGTACCTGTTCTACGGGCAGAGCCAAATGAGCAAGAATGCGTGGAACTAGACTGGTAAATGATGAGAAGGACTTGGAAGGACCGGGATGAGAGGAAAGAAAGGTGGGAAGCAGAAGTTCGGTCGGAACTTGTGTGGGAAAGGCGGTAAGGTTGAAGGAGAAGGCGCTAGACATCACCTTAGCTGGTGAGTAAACCTTCAGAAGGTTTAGCGGTTGGAGGATAATCACTTAAAGAGCTTCGTGTAGTGTGCTAGCCGATCCTAACCGGCGCCAAAAGCGCGTACAGAAAGGCCACTTTAGCACCGCTTTGGAACATCACCGCTGAAAGGGGCACCCTTTCCTCTAGGGACCCTCCAACCTAAGCCGGAGTTTTGTAATGTTTTCGTGGATTCGAAACACTACACAAAAGGTGTTGAACGGGCAAACGAATCCTCGATTCGGGCCACAGCAACGCAAATTTACGGGTAAATTTCGAGGTCTTTCTATAGGACGCCCGATCTTCCCCACCTTCATCCTGATTCTACACAAATTCCGGACCAAGACACAGGAGCTGGAGCCAGACGAAGACGAAGAAGAAGGACACAGAAAACGCGCATAAATCGAATAAGATTCAAGGTTAGAAGCAACAATAACAGCCCGGAGAAAGGGTTAGTAACAAGTGCAATGTGCTTGCTAGGCGATGCGACTAAGGCGTGAAATGCGACGTCACAAGGTGAGCGGGACAATGCTTCCTCCGCCTGAAGGCTCAGTCGAAGTGCGATATGTAGATCTCGTTGATCAGGTAGCGGCCCTTCACGCGGCGCTCTTTGTACCGAGCAATGTCCTTCCGAGTGATGATCCCGCGGACCTGTAAAGTCTCAGGTTAGCATAAGGCTTTGAGGACCGAGGTTTAAGCTCGGCACGCGTACCGCTTTGCGGTACATACCGAGCTCCGTACCGCACTGAGTACGATACGTGTACGGTACGGGGCGTTCAGTACGGCTTCGATTTTCCCATATTTAGCATGGAGGAAGGACGTACTATGCTCCGTATCGTACTGGTACGATACGGAGTACGGTACGAAAGGGGGTCAGTACGGTACGTTGGCCGAATGCTTGTCCTTAGACCAGATACGTACCCGATTCCCGTCGTTCACGACGACGATGTGTCGCAGCCCGAGACCGCGGAACATGCGGAAGATTGAGCCCAGGGAAGCGCTCAACGGCACGCGATGCGGTGACGGATGGACGAACGGCCGTAGATCGATCCAGCACTTGTCGTCCTCGACGCTCAGCGCCAGCGCGGAAATCGGCACTTCGTACCTAAGGCCGATAATGTGATTATTACGTTGGAATGATGCTTGCCTTGGATAGTCGTTGCGGAAGTCCGACAGCGCGACCGGACGGTGGTTCGGAGCTGCTTCCGTGCACAGCGGGTCCACCATGAAGTGCTAAAGACGGCTAGTGAACTTTTCTAGTTTTTACTTTAGCTGAAGCTGGAGAAATACTGGCTCAAATGGCACAATACGGTGGCTTAGTGACGGAGGGTCAATCAGGGCCATGCCCCGCCCGGCTGTGCCCCTAATTCCGATCGGACGGAAACATGGGATAGAAAAACGCATGCAGCATGACATGATACGTACAGCCATGCGGCCAAGTGGTACAGCGTGCTATCGGATAACGGAAACCTCAGAACCATGCCATGTTTTGTCCAGATATGCGTCCAAAGCGCTTCCGCTTTCATAAGCATGCATGTGTGCATGTGCACAATATCTGCATCGAACGACGGCATGCGTGCAGTTATGTGCACAACAGAGGAAACATGCATGCGTAGCATATGGGAATGCAGACATGCGCATGCGTCCTATCACGTACAAGTACAACTTCGCAGACTGACATATGGGGACAACTTAACATTGGAGAAGTGCATGCAGCATACCATGGCACGCATGCGTGCGGTCACACGGGACAAGCGGTACCGCATGCCACCGGATGGATGAAACTTATGGTATAATGTCATGCAGTATCCGGTTTTGGGTAATAAGCTTCCGCATTCAGAAGCATTATATTTGCCCGTACGTAGCGGCTGTGTGTATGCATGCGTGCAGTCATGCGTACAACGGAGAAACTTGCACGCGTAGCAAGTCAGGATGCAGACATTCGCACAGCACTACTGCTTGGTTACCTTCTTCCTCAGCAGGGTGAAGATCTGCGTCCGCAGGATCATGCCCTGCAGGTGCCCGTAGTCCGGATAGTGTCGCTCGTCATTAGCGTCCACGATTCGGTCGACCACCGGAAAAGCGTGGTGCTTAGTGTTCCTAAAAGACAAGTAATCTGAAGTGGTCATGTGCATAAAGGCTTACATCAGAATTTGCACGAGCCGCCGGACAGACTCGCGCGGCTCGAGCGCTACGACGTCCTTCCGCATAATGTCCTTGGCGAGAATGTTCCGTGAGAGCTTTGGCGGGTCACAGCCAAGAATGGGCACTTCTTGGAGGTCGATGTGCGAATCGTACAGACCCTAAAAATTACATATTCACTAGATGCCCGCTGAGCAACGGGCTGATTGTGATGTGATTAACACGAGAATCACCTCGAGTTGTTGAAAGAAACTTTCATATATTTTCAGCTTTTTAACCATTTACAAAATCAGCTCTTTTTCTATCGAATAGTCAGGTTTAAAACAGCTCTTTTATTTTTTAGGATTTCCTTTAAATTGTTTTAACGTTCTTTGCAGTATATTTGGGGTTAAGTTCATTACCCGCGGGGAAAAATTCTTCCTCTAGTCGAAAAATTAGTATGATTGACTATTTTAAACCGTCAAATCATTGCCCTAATTGAGGCAGAGTTCAAGAAAGAGTGCTTTTCTTTAGGTTTTCGAATATCAGTCTAAGTAATCCGTATCTTTTACGATTTTCTTGCGACCAAGAACGCTAAAAAAAGAGTTGACCGCGGCCAGGATCGAACTGGCGACCTTCAGTGTGTAAGACTGACGTGATAACCACTACACCACGCGGCCGACACTCTCGAGGGTCCCGCAACTCCATCGCATTCATTCGGGCCGCGAGCGCGGGGTGCTGACGCGAGGGGATTAGTCACTGTTTGCGTGCACTAGGAGCCTGTTTTGAAAGGTCGTTTGATGACGAATTTTTAGTAAGTGTGGCGAAATTTTGACGTCTTTTGGGAGAAAGAGTGAGTGGTGAGCGTTCGCTATCCGACGGGTTCCAGCAGCCGGAAGTGCTTCAGACTATTCAACGTTTTAAGCGGGGCTTCGGCGGGCTTCGGGGCCCAAGCGTCTGCAGACCGTCTAGCTCAAGTTGGTCCCGAAAATTCATTGATTTGCACGATTGGATTGTACAGTGGTATATGCTCCACACGACCTATTCGCTGCACTGACTTTGGATGAGGAGATAGGTAGTAATTGAGCGCCCTTCAATGACTCGCACACTTTTACACAACTCATAAGACCGCGCCAACATTGGGTCTTTCCCAAGTGTGTTTTACGATACCTTCCTTTGCCAAACCCGCTAATACTAGCGCTCCTTGCGGCGTCGCATGCACCTGACGGTAATGAATGCTCCTAGCGGGCTCAGACAAGTCCGCACTTTGCCGCTCATTTTGAAAGCGCACGAAGTAAGCAACCGCCTGACACTGACCTCGTTGAAGAAGTCGCCGACCCACTTGGTGATCATCAGCACGAGCATGACGGGCAGTCCGAAGTTGATGTCCTTCGTAGCCTCAACGATGATCGCCGTCAGGCTGATGGTCATCCGAACAATCCCGCCGAGCTGGGCCGCTGCTCCTGCGAGGGCGTACTTCCCCGGGTCGATGCCGGTCTGAATACTGACAGTTTGGGCTTCGTAGGCTACGGATCAGGACTACTTGGAGTAAACATCGGCAGTCTGTAGCCGTACAGTACTTAGCAAAGTGCCGATGCTCCCCGTACCGTATTCTGTGCTGTACTGATCCCGTACTGACTGACCGTACCAGTACGGTACAGGCTGCAATACGGTACGGTTCGGGCCGTACTAGTACCAAATATCGATAGAGCCGAAGTCAAACCGTACTCCGTGCTGGATTGACCCCACCGTACCGCACTCCTTGCCGTACCAGTACGGTACGGAGTAAGGTATGGGTTGCCAGACGGTGCGGCTGGGATCTCTAATTTGGAAGGCTTAGCATGCTTACCAAATTCGGAAAGAACCTCTCGATGCTGACGCCAACCAGTCGTCCCCAGGCGGCTCCGGTAAGCAGCGACGGAATGAAGATGCCGCTCGGCACGGACAGACCGTACGTCCACAGCGTCAGGATGTAGTACTCGACCGCGAAAACGGCCAGCGTGACGGGCTTGAAGGAGTCTAAAAATGTATGTAGCGTATGTATAGTGTATGCTTGATTGACTTGGAATAAAACGGACCTAGTGAACCAAACTGGCTCTAGCGAGATTTAAGAGTAAGCTACGGGTGGTTCAAGTTGGAGTAGTGAGGTACAATGCAGGCTCAGTAAAGACAAAAGTGCGGACATAGTGTGGCAAAGTGGCGGTGAGAGAGTGAGTGTGCACTAGCGACGTAGCAGGGCTAAGAAGGAATCGGCATACGGGATACGTTCAACCTGTTGGAATCGGGATCGAAAATCGGAGTGTGTCAACAAGACCGGTTCCACCGATTAGGTACTTGCGACAGAGAAGCAAGGAAGCACCTACTGAATGGACTGTGGAAGAAGCTCTTGACGCTCTCCTCGGGGTTCTGGAAGAATAGAGTAGCCACAGCACTGTACTTTCCTCGCGGGCACCAGAGCTGAAACATTCAGTTTTCCACGTGGTCATCCAGTGAGTGCCAGTACCTTCGTGACGTCCGTCAACTGTGGGTTCACGCCGATCGGCTGGCAGTCGTCCACGAGCAGGAGAGTGATGAAGCCGATGAACGCGGACGCGGCGGCCACTAGCACCGCCTCGAGCAGCTTCTGACTGGTGCTCTTCACATAGCTAAACATCGTGTTAATGAGTGTTCACTCGCGTTACACGGCACTTACTGCTTGCGGAACTTGCTCAGGCGCATGTTGAGCCAGTTGAAGAGCGCTCCGGAGAGGCCGCCAATGACGCCGATCAGCAGGAAGAACGGGATCTCCCACATGTTATACGAGTTGTCCTAAGACACATCCATCAGTTTACTCCGGCATCTCCATATTGACCAACCTCGAAGACGCCGAAATTCGCGAGCCCCGTCCAGCTGATGTTCCCCGCATGACCGTAGAAGAAGCTGAGGAAGCAGTTCAGCGTGAACGTCGAGATCATAGCGGTGAAGACCTAAAATAACAACATCATAGAAGGCGTCACTCCTGAGTGCCTACCATTCGCCATGTTAACGACTGGTTCCAGAAGCTCGCGCCCTCCTCCAAACTGAACAGTACGCCGCCGATCGGCGCGGCAAACGCGGCGGCAACGCCCGCTGCAGCGCCAGCGCTGACGAAATCACGCTTCTCGCGGTCGTTGCGGAAGTATTCGAAGATGTGCAGATCGAACGGCAGCGAATGACAACGGCCTTGCGAGATGCCCGCGGCGACGACGCCTCCGGAGTGAATCATGGGACCTTCCTAAAAAACGGGGGTTAGAATGACGTTTAGCTAAGCCGAAAAACTATCACTTAAAGCGAGCTTATGACCACAACTTGTGCTAGTCCAATAACAATTTGCCTAAGCATAGGCCACAGCCTAAAAGCACGGACTCAGTTTGAGCCTAAGAGTCACACGTACCATTAGTTAAGTCGAGAAACTTTTGACGTAAGTGCAAGCTTATGACCGTCGCTAGTGCTAAGCTGACGGGGTGTCTCTGAATTCCATTCCCCGATTCCGACTGTTTCCCGTTACGTGTCCCGAACATATAACTACATGCTAGAATATGAACTGCATTTAAAGTGGCTCGTGGCCCAGCTACGCTGAATCAAAGTCACATTTACCGTATTTTTTGATTTTTTTCTTGAGGATTTAAGCAGTTTAAAGCGTACATCATCATACATATCAAGTACAGCGAAAAAAGCTTACTTATTCTTCCAAAACTTATTTCGATCCCAAATTCCTACAGGTTTTCCCGTCCCAAGCTCCGACTAAAACCCCCTTCCAACCCCCGAGTTTCGGGTGAATCAAAACCATTGTGATGCACCCCTGGTCCCGCTGGTCAGCTCGCCTTCTCCGTGCCAGGACAGGCTCGATGTCCCGATGGTAGATCGCAAGTAGGCCACTATTTCCACTAGATATGCCACCGTTTGAGCTAGTCTGCTACTGGTCCCAGGCCCGATTCCCATTTGTGCCGAGTGTGTAATGCAAATTAATTTCCTCACGCTTACCTTTCCCGCCGCCAGCCCACCGCCAACCGAGCATGCGACGCCGAAGGCCTTAGCGAGCAGCGTTTTCAAGCGGACCACACCGGGGATTTGAACGCCGTTGAGGAAGCACTTGATCTGCGGAATGCCCGAGCCGGCCGCTACCGGCGAAACGAAGAGGACGAGTGAAGCGGCGATAGCGACGAGAACGCAGTTGTACGTGGCCCACGCGCTCAGCACGATCCACATGCATCCGGCGTTTCCGATGGACTGGTGTTCGCACATGTCGACCACTGAAGAGACGCACGTGGATCGGTCAAGCATTCGATATTGTGGGCCGAGAATGATAGGCTATTGTCCTACGCATCGCATGCTACCCAGTGCATCGTTCTTCGCACGGCACAATGCTTGGCTATATTCAAGTATACATAGGCATGCCGGGGCAAGCATGCGGTCATGTGCCCGAATAAGTATATGAACTCTACACGCCGATCAGGGATAAAACGTTGAATTCTGCAAGTCAGTCAGTATCAGTATCTATGTCACTTAACACACATCGCTGCACGCACAGATGCTCCCGCATGCGGTACCGCTAAGCACGCATCTCCTCACACATGCATGCTTTCCCATCTAGTACCGCTTAGTATGCACGACCACATGATTGCATGCTTCCGCAAGGGGCACCGCCTATACGCATGACAGCATGCATGCTTCTGCATGCGGTATCGTTTAGTACGCATGACTGCACGCATGCTGCTTCCGCATACTGTGCCGCTTTAGTACATCGGAAAGGATCTATACCCACAGGTAGGGCCAACCGATATGCAACTATATAAGGTTGCGCAACGCCGCTCGTCAGTCTTGAATGCTCAGTTAGGCGCTTTCAATACCTACATCGATTGATCATGAAGTGGTACTTGATGCGCGAGCTGTAGTAGACCATAATGTCGATGGCGGCCGCCACGATGGCCGTACAGACGCCTATCAGGAAGCACACGATCCACCGGTCCACCGTCATCCGGAAGAGCTTCTTCTAAACCGGCAACTTTTTGCAAATTATGCGACATGTTGCGTAAACTTAGCGTCGTTCGGTGCAAGTTTAGCAATTACGCTGCGAAAATTTACTTTATGCAAAATAATGCGTCTTCGGCAAAACAGAGAAATGGAATTGTATCCACTTTCAGGGTAAATTTTGCGAAAATATGTGCAAATTTAACTAGCATTTTGTGCAACAGCATCGCCTTGGACGCACCTGATGTTCTTTGTCTTTCTCTTCGGCCCGGTAGAGTTGGTTCTCTCCGATCTCATAGTCGAGACTCTCGTACTTCTCCGAGAGGACGTGATCGGTGGCCCCAACGGACATCACACGACGTCGAAAATCGCCGCTCCGGAAGCTGTCCTCGTTCCGCAGGCTGTCTTGACGTTGCCGGCGGCGTTCCCGGGACCGAATGTTGGAGATGGAGGAGACGCGCTCGAGGCCGGACACCGGGTCCTCATTGGGATCGAGGCTAAATTCGAATGTTTGGACGAGGATTTTAACAATTTGGGCATTGGTATGCTTTGGAAGGCTTCGAAAAATTGCTATTCTATGCTGAGAAGAGAGAGGAACGGCCCTGAGACCAGGCCTTTGAAGGGCGAATGACCCTCTCAGGAGCGGAATATCTGGCCGAGAGAGGGGGAGAGCCCTTATGTCTTTAGTCAT